CGTTCAACTGGAACCTCTTGTGCTTCAGTTTGTGCCCATGGCCCCTTGTCCTGGCGCTGGGCACCACTGGGAAGAGTCTGGCTCCGTCCTCGTGACCCCCACCCTGGAGATATTTGTAGGTGGTGATGAGATCCCCTCTCAGCCTTCTCTTCTCCAGGCTGAACAAGCCCAGCTCCCTCAGCCTTTCCTCCTAGGGGAGATGCTCCAGTCGTGGTGCAGCCCATCCCCAATCCGCGCTCCGCTCGCCTGACAACGGTCCCCAGGCTGATTGACACTGGAGATGGCAGATTTTCCCAAGTCGAGCATCATTTACTAGCGGCTCATTTACTGGGGTGTGGGTGCCCCTCCTCGAGGCAGCCGGATCCAGCCATGGCTTAAAAGATATTAGGACAGGATGTAAAATAATAATATCATACAGCTGGAAGCTGCTGTGACGGTGCAACGGGCAGGGCTGATCTCTGCCTCCCCTCCTGGAGGGGACTGGGAGGAGGATGAAAGCTCTCCTGTGATGTTCTCCTTCTCAAGAGAAGCTGCCCAAACCAAGAGCTTTGTGTGGTTCAGAAGGCTGGGCTGTCTGCAGGGGTACCGGCCGCACGCGTCCTGCATCCCTGGGATGGTGGGGAGCGTGGCAGTGCCACCCCGAGAGCTGTGCTCCGAGGCGAACCGTGTGTGAGATGCAGGGCTGATGCTCTCCTGCAGCTTGGCACCATCAGAGGGGGACAGCGGATGAATCCAGCAGCTCTTCTAGCCCCACATGACCATCATGAGAAGATGAGATATTTGCTTTCTGCACCTGCAGTCAAGCCGTTGTACAGCCCCAGTGCACGGTGCCAAGCAAGGTCCCTCTTCCAGATCATCTTGAGCATCGCTTGATGCATCGAGGGAAGCATCAAGGGAAGCAGAGGAGGGCACAGGAGCAGCATGCACAAACCTCCGGAGCTCAGGCTGCCAAAAAGGCTCACGATGAGGTCGGCTGTGTTTTGCCATCAGCGATTTCAGCAAGGGGAGGTGAGACTGTTGCTTCTGCAGCTCTTCTCCTGACGCACCACCCCTGCTCCGGGTCTTGTGGAAATTAAACCTCGACCAGCGCCAGGGGAGCCTGAGCTGCTGTCAGCGCTCAGGCAAGGGGATGCGGCCGCCTCCGACTGCCTCCCTGGGAGCCGGGATGGACAGAAAGGTCTTTCTTTTGTCTGAAACTGTACCGATGCGGGAAAGAGAGGAAAGATTAAGCACAGCTGGGAAGCTTGCTGCTTGTGAGAAGCTGGTGGTGAACAGCGATGCTCGAGCTCCACCCTGCAATGCCTTTCACAGAATCCCAGAATGGCCGGGGTTGGAAGGGCCCTCGGGAGATCACCCAGTGCCACCCCCCTGCCCAAGCAGGCTCACCCAGAGCAGGGGGCACAGGACAGCGTCCAGGCGGGGGTTGAAGATCTCCAGAGAAGGAGACTCCACAGCCCCCCTGGGCAGCCTGGGCCAGGGCTC